GGCAGATACAGACGGAGCGGCCCCGGCGCTGCTGCAGCCAGGGAGGGGCAGCCAGTGCCCTGAGGAAGAATCGCCTCCCAGCACCCACACCCCCCAGGAAAAGCCTTGAAGACCTCCCTTCTCGGGGACTTCCTGAGGGTCCAGACTGCACCATAAGGAAAGGAGCAGAGACTCATAGAGACTCCCGGGGACAGAGCTGCCACAGCAGCCCCAGAGTCACAAAAGCAGGAGCCAGCAAAACGCCCAAAATGGGCCTGGGGAAGCGGCACAGCACCGCCAAGACTCCAGGCAGCAGGCCGGGCTGCGGGTGGTGAGACACCTGCTCCAGGGTTACGGACCTGGTGGTCCCAGCCAACAGAGTCACACTCCCCTGGCCAGAAGGCAGGCATGCCCAGGCTCGGCCACTCAGATTCTCCCCGGGATCAGACACCGGCCCAGAGGGAAACACCCTCGCCAACGGGCCCAGCAGGGGCTTCCTCGCCCACCCTCCATTGCAGGGTCCCTGCTCCCTGCACCCCCGAGCCTAGCTTATCAGCTCCTGTCCATACAGGGTTTTCTCTAGAAGCTTCTATCCAGTTCCCTAGGGCTGCTCTGTGTCTGGTACACTCTGTCACTTGCAACTTCAGAATCCTCACCTGCGCCGTGGCATGCTGGACAAGCCCCTGGACCCAAGGGCCACAGACACTGCCCAACGCTATACACAATGTTTTGAAAGTAGGCGGCAATAAGGCTATATACGGTGCCACTCTAGTTTTAAGTGACAACCACCCTACAAATACATGTGCTGGGACAAAACCAGCTGGATGGACCTTTCATCTCATGCTCTTCCCTTTCTCCCAAATGTTCCATGAAGGTGGGGAGGAGGCTAACAGGTTGTCCATCCCTGCCCAGGGGGACAGCCGCTCTGCCACCGGCCTGACACTGGGCATGCAGCTGACCTTGCGGGAGTCGCAGCATTGAACCGAGGTGCTGCAGTCTTAGGAGCTGGGCACCAAGCTCTGCTAGGAGACCACCGGCCCTAAGGGCCACACACCCTGAGTTCAAATCCCCTGAGTGGCCGTTGGGCCTGGGCTGGCACATCACCAGACACAGTTCGCGCCTCCTGGGGCAGTACACGCCCCGTACACGGGCACACCAGCGGGACGCTCCCTTATTTGGGGCTGAGGCTGCCTCCCCAAGGCTCAGGCTTCTCTTTGCCTCAGGGCCTCTGCACGTGCTGTTCCCGCTGCCTGGAGCCCACTTCCCCAGGGTCTCTACACGGCTACCTCAGTCTCTCATCAGGGTCTCACCGGAAACACCGGAGCACTCAGGGCTCAAGTGGGAAACGGTCCCACGTGCCGGGCGAGCCTGAGGCAAGTGCTATCACCTACCCTGGAAGGCTGGCAGGCCAGTGAGCCCACTGTGCGCTGGAGTCCAGGCTGGCACCTGGAGGAAGCAGGCAAGTCCCAGCCCACTGGGCATTGGCAGCCTTCACAGTAGGCCAGGTAACACCTCCTCCAGGAAGCCTTCCCTGACCATCTGCCATAACTGTTCTTTTGCATCAGTGGCAGCAGCTGCCGGCCCTGGGCTGGTGGAGATAGCAGACCAGAGTGAGGAGCTGGGGGCAGAGAGCAGGAACTCGGTCCCTGCCTGAGGACACAGGGTCATGCAGGTTGTGAAGAACTGGCCGGAGCTGGGTGGGCAGACCCACCAAATTAAGCCACCCAAGCTCACACGGGAGGAAGTGCCAGAGCTGGGACCCAGGCCTGGGATACTCCAGCCAAAGAGAAGGCTCTGCTACCTGACCCTCAGGGACGCCCTACCCATGGCCAGAGGACAGACTCGCCCGGCTACACCAGGTCCCCAGGCATCTGGGCTCAGCCTTGCCAGCTCCTGTAGGGCCACAATGCCTCCTCTGGGCCTCCTATCTCTCCCCTGTAAGATAACAGCCTCACGCGCGTGAGACCCTAGAAGCCCCAGTGAGGCAGCACAGGGAGCTCTGGGTGTGCTGGTGATGGCCCAGCCTCGGGGAGCCCGGCCAGCAGCCCCTCGAGACAGGCGCGAGAGTGGAGCAGCACAGAGCAGACCCCAGAAGCCCCTTCCAGCCTTCCCACAGATGCCACCAGCCCCAACAGGACCCACACCGGCAGACTTCCTGGCTTCCATCCGTGCAGCGAACGTCACAGGCCCCACGTTGGGCCATGCAGTTGCTGGGAGCCCTTCTCTCCCAGCATGGGGGCCTTGGGAGGAAGGTGGCCTGAGACCCTCAGTCCCAAGAGAAATCTTAAACCTGTGGGGTACAGAATCTCACCTCTCTCTGGCGAAGACTGCTGAAGCGCTCAGCACAGGGCCAGCTGGGGCTTGGGGGCCCACGTTCCAGCCCCCACCACTGCTAATGCCACAGTCACACCCCCTGCAGTGGAGCATCCTCGTGGGGCAGGGTAGGGGCAGGGCCTGAGCAGGACAGAGGCTCTACCATGTACTCACTCTGTGACCTCGGCCCATGCCCTGCTCGGAGCCTCAGTTTGCTAATCTATACAATGGAGACAACAGTCCCCACCTCCCAGGGCTGTGTGACAGCCCCACACAGGCTCTGAAACGGGGCTCCCAACAGTAGACAATGGGGACAGGAAATAGCAAAGGACAAAGGCTGGTCCCTGTGCTACAGCCCCCAACTCTTGGTGCCAGACCCCACCTTTCCCCCAGAAAGCCCACAAAGCAGAAGCCTCCTCCTTGGCAGGGCAAAGCCAGGGGGGACAACTAGGGACAGCTCACAGACTGCCCAGGGTCAGGATGGATGAAACGTCCATCCCCTCAGTGGGACCAGGGCAGTCAGCCCCACAGCTGGTGACACCTCACCAGAGGAGGCAGGAAGGAACCTCACGTGCAGCGCCCCCCGCAGGAGGGGAGCTCCTGGCCCTCCACCCCCAGGCAACCCTGCAAACAAGGCACAGCAGGCCCAGATTTCGGGATGAGGAGATGAAGGCTCAGAGAGGTCAAGCGCTTGCCCAAAAGCCCCAGCACCCAGAGGGCCGGGGCAGGATGTACATCCAGGTCTGCTTGCTCCGGCCCTTTGCCAGCGGCAGAGGCGGCGGGGGATGGAGACAGGCTGGTTTCCATATCGTGAATTATTCAGTGGCTAATTCTGCTCCTCGGAGAGGAGGCAGGAGAGTGAGTCAGAGCCCTCCCACAGCGGAGCAGGGAGCAAGGGAGGGGGCAGAACAGCGCTCCCAGAGGCCAGGCCCCAACCAGGGCCTCCCAGGGCCAGAGGGGCCTTCTGGAGGAGGCCAGGCTGAGCCCAGGCTGAGTGAGGGACCTGGCCACCACCCCAGGCTCCCGTGAGCTGCAGGCTTCACCCCTCACTCACTCCCTGCCACGCATCCCAGAATCCGGGCACCCTGGAGGGCCTGCAGCAAGTCCAACTGTGGTTGTCAGCATGGGCAGGTGGCAGGCCCAGGCCAGCAGGTAACAGCCACCCTGGGGGCCCCAGGGCTGCCCTGGAGCTTCAGAACTGACAAATGGGCCAAACCCTCAGGGCAGACAACTTTCCCAAGTAAGGCACACCCTCCTTGCAGCTTAAACAGAGTCCTCCAGGGACGAACGTGACAAAGCCATCACACATCAAAGTTCCTGGGGAGCACAGAGAAGTGTGTGCTGCCTCCACACTGAACGGCCCCCCAGCGCTGGGCTTCTAGAGTGTGGGCATGAGATTTTATACAAATCCTCTTCTCCCTCCGCCCTGCTGTCTCTGGGCGTGCCTGGGCAAATCCCTCGCCCCCTTCTCATCTGTTTAGAAACGCTGGCAACAGGGCTGGGGCTGGCAACAGGCTGGGGTGCCTGGGGGCAGGTGAGCACAGAGGCTAGGGGCAGTGAGCTCCCCTGCAGAGCTAGCTGCCAGACAGCACCCTCCTGCTCTACTTCCGGTTCTCCTCCTCTGGATAAGGGAGGCCACAGACAACACAGTTCTGATTAGGCAAGGTGTTACACAGTCCACAGGGTACTGGGTCCCCAAGCCACCTTGATAGGCAAAGCCCTTCCCACCCCACCATGGGCTCTGCCATGCTCCATCTGGAGAGAAACCCAGGGGTGTTGTGGGTGACAGGCACCCAGGTCACGGGGCTTCTGGAATCCGGATCCCCAGGCAGGAAGGAAATGCCCACAGCCTGGTCCCCTGCCCTGCACTCAAATGACACTGGCTCAGGGAAGGGGTGGCGGTGGGGCTTGGCATGATGCCAGGCCTTGGGCTCCACTGGGAGAGGGCTGCGAAGGGCCCCCGCCACCCCCAGCTCTGCCTGGGCTCAGCTGCTTGCCGCCTCCTAGGCTGAGGCCCACTGTGCATCCCTGCAGCCAGGCCTCCCTCCCGAAGGGGCTCCTGGCAGCCTGGTCTCCCACAGCCGCGCCTGGCACTTTGTGTACATCCCACAGCCTGACTGCCCAGCATGGGGTCATTACCGGCCACAGAGGGCTGGCAGTGCTTCACCTATGAAGAGCCTGGCAATGGGATTCCCCAGCTGGGGTGAGGGGGCCAGGAATCCCCTCCTGCCTGCACGGAGTGCTTAGGCTTCCATCCCTGCAGCCTCCGAGCCCTGGGTCCTCGCAGGAGGCTCTGCCGGGAAAGCACCAAGCCGCCCCCAGTGAGGGAGGGGGCCGCGGCAGGAATAGACAACTGGCAGGGGGGATCCACGGAGGGAAGAGAGACGGCTCCACGTAACCCCCGAAACGGGCCTGAGTGACACCAGAGGAGAAGGCTGGAATCCAGAGGGGGCCGTGGACCCGCGATGGGGGTTGGAGGGTGTTTGGACCCTTGAGGAGGAGGCCACGGCCCTGAAGGAGGGGGCCCATAACCAGGGAGACCCTCGAGAAGAAGGGGGCCCTGACCCACGAGGGGGAGGAGGCTGTGCCCCGCGATGGGGGTGGGGGTGGAGAGTCCTCGGACCCTCGGGGAGGGGCCGTGATCCCGGGAGGGAAGGGGCCGTGACCCGGGGCCCCTGACCCCGCGACCCAGAGGGGCCCCACCGCACCTGCTGGTAGTCGGTGTCCTCGGGCCGGAACTGGCTGCTGGTGGCCTCCCACCGCAGGTCGAAGTGGGGCAGCCGGTGCAGGAGGCTCACCCACCAGGGTGCCGCGTAGCTGACCCCGGCCATGGCGGGCCCCGCCGCCTCCGGCTCCCTCGCTGGCTCGGCCGCGGGGTTCAGGGACCCGCCGACCCCGGCCCGGCCGCCCGCATAGTCCGCGCGCTCCTGGGCCCGGCCTGGCCCGGCTCGGCCCGGCTCGGCCCGGCTCGGCTGCGCTCGGATTTGCTCGGCCGCTCGCGCCCGCCGCCTCTTTGTTCGCCGCCGCCGCCGCCGCCCCCTCGGCGCCCCCTCAGCGCCCCCGCCCGTCCGCCGCCGGAACCGCCCCCGAGCCGCTATTGGCTCTCGGCCTGAAGGCCACGCCCACACACGGCCCGCCCTCCTCCCCGCCTCCGAGCCGCCATTGGCCCGCCTCCCGCCGGCTCCGTCGTTTGGCGTGCCGCCTCCCGCCGCCCCTGTGCCTCCATTGGTCCTTCTCCCACTGGCCCTTCTCTCCGCTCTTTTGCCCCTCCATTGCCCAGTGGCCCCGCCCTTCACGACCCCCCCCAGCCGCTGGCCCCGCCTCTGCACCGCCATTGGCCCGCCGGCTGAGGCTCCGCCCACTCCCTCGCGCGAGCCTAGGGGCGCCCAGACCTAAAGGCAAGAGGACCCCGAACCGGGTCTCGCGGGCCTGCCCCCCACGTGGGCGCGGAGTGGAACCCTGGCTGCGGGTGGGGCTGCGCTGTATTCCACGCGTTGGCTCGTTGACTCGACCTTTGCACGTTTATTGCACGTTTACCGCGGGGTCTGGCCTGCAGGGCCCGGCTGGCCTCCGCGCCAGCCAGGGACCAGTGGCCTGGCTGCGGGAGGGGCGTGTCTGGATTAAGTCACTTCTCTGTGTGTCGACGTCCTCGTCTGGAAGAGGGGATAGTAAATGAGAGGAAAATGCTCAGGGCCTGGCACACGAAAGCGTGTGTGTGTGTGTGTGTGTGTGTGTGTGTGTGTGTGTGTCAGGGGGTCGCAGGTCGATCAGTCCCCACCAGCCTGCCCTTTGGGGAGGTCGCATCTTTTGTCAAGACCTAAGGCAAAGACAGTGCCCTGTCCTGGCACCGCGAGGAAATTCAGGCAACCGCCAGGTAGGGCTTTGGAGCCACAAGCCAAACTTCCTAAGGGGCGTCCTGCCGTATCTGCTGAAGTGGAGGTGGGAGCTGCCAGGGCGAGGAGGATGGACATACAGCAGTGCTTGGGCCCAGGTGCAGTAAGTGCACCCTTGGCACTGCTTCATCTCCACCTGGGCCTCACTGTGAGCCCTCCTAAGTTCTGGGAAACAGGTTGCCACACCTGGGATCTGCCATCTGCTGTGCCTGGCTGGCCAGCTCTGTGGGCAGCCTGGGCCAGGCTGTGCAGGCAGGGACAGCCCTGGGCAGTGGCTCCCCAGGAGGCCTGGCTGTCCGTTCATCTGACTGCCCTGACTCTGACTGCCCTGACTCGCCTGTTTTCTGCTGATAAGGCCCAAAGCAGGAGGCCTTTGCAAAGCTGTGGTTTCCATTCTCTGGATAACTTGGAGACACCACCCAGTTGGGAAGTAACGGCAGAACAAGAGGAAGGAGGTCACATTCTGCATTCCTAAAGGCTGAAAAGCCAGGAACTCTGGGGGGATTCTGGCTTAGGTTCCTTTTTCCAATGCCAAGGTTGCTGGGAGCTCTGGGCAGAATGACGCACGCCCCTTCAAACCTCCCAAAGACCAAGGCCCCCTCTAGGGGTGGGTTGGCACCTGGCCAGGTAAATCCTCTTCCCTGGCACCTGGTGACTGCTCACTGTGAACAGGTGGAGCAGGCAGGATGCCCACTCCTGGCCTGACACTCCTTCGGCAGCTAGCCTGTCTCATCTGCACAAGGAGGGGTATCAGCACTGGCCCTTCCAGAGCTGACTCTGACCTCAGGGTTCTGCAATGCACAACTCCAAGGATGCATAGGACAGTGCCCTGTCGGCAGCTGACTGTCTTCGTGGACAGGGACAGTTTCTGGTCCCTGCTATTAGCAGCAGCTCCCCTGGCCAAAGACTTCACCCCACTCCAGTGCCACCAGCACCAGCCCGGCACCCCTGCCAAGGTCCACACGTGGAGGCAGGGTGCCCATGAGTTCCTTTCCATGTTTCTAGAAGGCTCACAAAATCGTGTGTTTTCTTCTGATAAGGACAGAAAGTCTGACCCAAACATTATGTGAAATGATGACTCAGGTGCAATGGGTTAAATTATGTCCCATGAAAAGATATGGTCAGTTCCTAACCCCTGGTTAGGGGTGATTGTGACCCTATCTGGCAAAAAAGGGTCTTTGCAAATATAATCAAGTTAAAGAAGAGATCATAGGGGTTAGGATGGGCTCTAATCCAATGACAGGGTCCTTATAAGGAGAGAAATTTGGACACACAGACTCAGAGACACAGAAACGCAGAGGGAAGAACATGGGGCGAACACGGACGCAGAGATGGGAGCAAAGTGTCTGTGGGCCACGGAACACCCAGGCTTGCCGAGCCCTCAGGAGCTGGCGAGAGGCCTGGGACGGTCTCCGCTGCAGAGCCTCCGGGGAACCTGCCTTGCCTCAGTTTCAGATTTCTGGCCTCCAGAACTATGAGACAAGAAACGTCTACTGTTTGAAGCCCTCAGTTCATGGAACTTTGTCACGGCAGCCCTGGGAAACCAGTACATCGGGTTACTCAGAGCTTCCCGTTGGCAGGCGTTCTGTGTGTCTCTGTTTGGTATGAAGTGAAAAGGAGCTAATTATTGATTAACATTTGCGGTGTGTTTGGTCCGTGAAATCTTTTCCTAAGGGGGCGGTACATGGAGGAAGAATGACAGAAGGGCCTGAGGTGGAGAAAAAGGAGCCCACAACATGTGGTTCTGGAAAAGTGCAGCCGCAGTCTCTGCTGGTGGATCCCGAGCCCCCCAAACCTGACGTTTAGGAGAAAAATCCCCCTGGAACTGAGAAGCCCCAGGTCCCCAAAGGGGGAGGGTTAGAGGAGAGAGGGCCGGGTGGAGGGCCTGGGGGAAAAAGGGCACACAGGGGGCCTTCCCACCCTGCTGCCATGCCTGGCACTCACCGGCCAGAGCTGCAGTGGGTCTTCCTGGCCGTCCTGGGACGACTGGGGCTCATGCTGGACTTTAGTTGCATTCCACAGATGGAGCTACTGAGGCCCAGTTCCCACCATTGCTCAGGAGGCTGCGAGAGTCACCTGGTGAGGGAACCAGGAGTCAGCCTAGTTCCACCAGCCACTCGCCCCTCCCTTCCTCCCTCTCTTTTTCCTTCCCTCCCTCCCTCCCTCCTTCCCTCCCATCCTTCGAGTGAAGCAGGGTTTATGAACAAAAGGCAGGCATGAGAAAGTCTGCAAAAAGAGACCGCTGAGGACTGAGTTGTTTGGAAACATCTGGCAGAAGCATCTGGAAAGAGGGAGGGGACAGCCAGGCTAGGAGTTCCCCAGGGTCTGTCTCCCGGGCCAGGGAGGTGGCTGGTTGAGCCTCCTGAATGGTTGTCCGATTGACCTGTAAGGCACTGGGAGAGAGGCCAGGCCCAGCTGAGCGTGGCCAGGCCCAGCCCGGGCCCCCGGATGCTGGGGTGGAAGCCAGAACAATGGAATTCTCTGTTTGGACCCTGTCCAAAGAGGTTCACGTTCTCCGTGGAGATAGCTCACGAGAACTGGCAGGCAGAGGGAAAGCTGCGGAGCTGGGCTCCCTGGCGCCTGCGGGGCGGAGGCTGGGTGATGCTCTTGCTGTACAGCCCGCCCCTGGCGAGCTCCCCACACACACCCGGCAATGGATCTCGGCCACAGGAAAGCCACAGGAGCGCTGCTTTCAATCTGGCCACTGTAGGCTGAGAGAGATGCCAGCCAGCACCGTCCCCAAGAGGGCCACAGAGTGACACAGCTGCATACCCAGCCAGAGTAAGGATGTGAGCACCTCTCACTTACATGGAGTCACCCAGCCAGCAGCTTCCCCAACTCCAGAAAGCCACTGGGAACCAGGGGACCAGTAGGGGTGGCCTCTGAGCTGCCAAAGAAGGACACCATCCTGAGTCCCAGAGCTTGAGCTAAGTGTCTTGCTCAGAGCCTCCTTACTCTTACTTGGCACACAATACTAACAAGCCCGGGTCTCTGGGTCCTAAGCCTGACATAGATCAAAAATAGCACCCAGAAGGAGGCAGCCATGGGGTTGGCATGAAAAGTGACAGCCAGAAAGGAGAAGGGCACTTCCATAAAAAGGAATCAAGTGACGCCCTCCCCTGGTGCGAGGCAATCCCCCACGGGCCCTGTCCACCCAGCCTGACCCAGCAGCAAGGTTTTGTTGAGATGAGTGTTGTGCCAGGAGTCATGAGACCTGGGATCTCTGTCAGGCTTTGCCCACCCACCATGACCCTTCTGGGGGCCCATGTCACCCACAGGGAACTTAGTGTCCACTGAGCCCAGTTTTACAAATGGGAAAACTGAGGCTCTGAGAAGGAAAGAGGCTCAGCTCCAAACCACAACCCTGGTTCATCAGGAAAACGGGAAAATACATTCACAGCTTTCCTACTGAAGGGGACAGTGATCGTGCACGAGCACCCACCAGACCCCGGCCAGACGCTCGATCCGTGCAGCTCAGGAGGGAAGCATTAACATCCTCACTTTACAGATGGGGACGCTGAAGTGTGGGGGAGGAAGTGGCTCTCCCAGGGCCCCAAGCCGGGAAGGCAGAGGCAGCGTCACCCTCCACAGCTGTAAGGAAGTCGGCTTGGCCCAGGTCGAGGTCTGGCCTGTGCCCTCGGCTCCAGGGAGGCCATGTTGCACCTGGCAGGTGTGTCTTTGTTGCGGGTGAGGGCTGGCTATACCAGAAAGACCACCCTAAATGATTTAGTATGGGGGTTTTGGCATCATCAAGTGGCATCATTCAACCAGTAACCACGAGGGCAGTCGGTCAATCAGTCTGCCCACACAATGAAGCCCCAGTAAAGACTCTGGACGTCAAAGCCCAGGGAGCTTCCCTGTTGGCAGTGTTTCCTAAGTGCTGCCACACGCTGATGCTGTCAGGGCAGTGCATCCTGAGGACAACAGGAGTTTTGCACTGGGAACGCCCAGACCCTGCCCTCTGAACCGCTTCCTTTGCTGGTTTTTTTTTTTTATTTTTTTGAGACAGAGTCTCACTCTGTTGCGCTGGCTAGAGTGAGTGCCGTGGCGTCAGCCTAGCTTACAGCAACCTCAAACTCCTGGGCTCAAGCGATCGTACTGCCTCAGCCTCCCGAGTAGC